AATGCACTTGGTGTGAAGCAGTGAATAAGGAAATACCGTAAGCTATGTAGACAATGATTTTTGTTAGTGTGTTGAGCCAGGGAAATGAAAAGTGCCATATGATGATCGATAAATAGCTATTAAATAGATGATATATTAAGGTGCAGTAGGTTAAAGTGAAATCACTTTGGTTTTCAAAAAGCGTTTTATAGATCCGAGTTTGCCTTTTCTGTTAGAGTCCTGCGATAATCCCATCCATCTAAAAGTGTTTTTATAAACTACACTATTCATCTAATATAATGAAGCCCTCCCCCCTCCCAAGTGACTTAAGTGGTGCTACATAAAATATGTAGGCACTGAAGGAGCTAATGGATGTGGCTCGGGGTTGTGGGGTGCAGTGTGCCTCCCCTTTTCAAAACCTCAGGGAGGTGCCAGCCTGCTAAGCCAGGTCCTTTTTACAAATTGGCCTTTAAGCTTTTAGGAAAATTGAGACGTGTCTTGGTCTCCTAGCAGGCCTCAGGTGCTGTGGTCTCCTAGCAGGCCTCAGGTGCTGTGCTCCTGGGGAATTCGGGGCTGATGAGTCTTGCTGTCTCAGCTTGGGCTGCCATAATGAAATACCGCAGACTAATTGTCTTAAACAACTACGTTTAAGACATTTTGGAGTCTAGAAGTCTGAGATCAGGGTGCCAGCGTGGTTGGGTTCTGCTGAACCTGACTTGCAGATGGCTGGCTTCTTGCTAAGTCACAACATGCCAGAGAGAGAGGCATGAAGAGATTGAGATCTTTTCCTCTTACAACACCACAGTTCTGTCAGATTTAACATAGGAATTCGGGGGCACACAGTTCAGCCCTTAGCAGTTGGGTGGCACATTTGTGTTCAGACCCACCTTTCTGGAAGTCACCAGCTTAGTGTGTTTCTAGCAGATCAAGGCCTGGTCTCTATGGTCACTGCCCCCATGGTTCTAAGGTAGCAGGTGGGAAGCCAGGTGCCAGCAGTGCCTTGGGCTACTGCAGAAAGCAGTGCTTATCTCTCAAACTCCGGGAGCTCCAGCAGAGGCTCTGGACAGCAGGGGCCCAGAGGTGTTCTCAGGTCAGTGGTGGCAGACAGCAGCCACGTGGTGACGGCTCTCAATCGTTGGAGGCAGGTTTGTATCCGTATCCCATTTGTCCAGTTTGGCCAGTGAATTCCTGGTGCCATCATAGAACTTTCTGCAGACTAGGTATCAGGGTGGTCAGTGTCAGAGTGATTTGGGGAGTGGTTGCTGAGAGTTCTGGGATTGAAGATGGTGCTTCTCCTTTGGAAGAGAATTGCACGGTGCTGTGCTATTGGCTTGGGGACCAGCTGGCAGTGGGTGGTGTTCAGGGGGCCTTAGCTGGGAGGCCAGGCTGAGCCAGGGTCCAACAATGGCTGCCCAGGCAGGAGGGATGTGTGGGCACCAGAGCTCTGTCAGGTGCCTATTTATTAGGCAGAAGCAGTACTCGGACAGTGCAGCCTTTGGAGCTGCTGCCAACAAGGGAGGGCAAGTCTCCTGGGCAGTGGCAGGCAGGAATAGCCCCTGGCCTAATGACTGGCTAGAAAAGAAGCTGCAGTAGAACATAGATTTGTTCCCCAGCAAGTGGGGGCCTGAAACACTGAAGATGGAGAATCCTGCCCTCAATTTCTGACTGACACCATTGATTGCAAAGGTGGCTTTTTTCTCTGTTGGAGGAAGGGCATTAGTTAGTGTATGTGTATATATTTTTACATGTATTTTTATATTTATATACAAATATACATTTAATTTTTTAATTGAGGCATTAGTATTTATTTTTTATTCACACAGGGTCTTGCTCTGTACCTGGGCTAGAATGCAGTGGCATGATCGTAGATCACAGCAACCTCAAACTCCTGGGTTCAAGTGATCCTCCCAGGCATTAGTATATAATCGTTTTACATTCCATATTATGTGATTTAAGCTTGTTTTTAACAGAATTTGCCAAACACTTTCAAACAAAATAGACCAGTTTCAGCAGTATTATAACATTATCCTTGAGTTATATCTTGTTCAGCAGAAAATCTCAGAAATAGTTTGAAGCCTTTTGTAGCTATCCGATAGTTTTTCACTACAACAAAAGTGCCAAAATGCTCTCAGTCATTTGCTATTTTTAGTAAGCGTTGGGCCCTACATGGAGCATCCCTGATGCTTTCACTAAGAACCATTCATCCAAAACAAGACCTAGGCCCCCTAATTAGGGGTATTCAGAATATGGTATTATTCTGAATAAGATTGAAGCTTCATTTGACTGAAAATGAGGAAAGAATTTAAGCAGTCACCTGTGACAATTCCAAGGGTGGCTTGAGGGGATTTGGCTTCAGTGCCCCTCCATCAAGATTAAGAAGCCTGTGTAACCTGAATAAAAACCTTTTCATAAAACTGTTGTAATTGACCTAGGAAGAAACTACACCCGCAGCAGTGTGCCTACAGTGCAGTTACAGCTTCCAGAAAAGCACCTGTGTCCCCGCAATCTCCCCAATACGATTGATGCCCCTAACTGGTCTCTCTTTAATTGTTCATACCAAACAGATCAAACTGCCTGAGCAGTTCTTCTTAAAACAAAAGCTTTGTTTTTTCTAGAAAGTAGAAAGTGAATTGTCATCAACCCCACTACTGAGAAATAGTTGAATTTATAATTGAATATACACCACAAGGTGGCGTATCGGATGAGGGCTAGCTATTTGGGCTCAGACAAGTTTCTTAACCTCCCTGTGGTTGTGTGTCTCATCCGTGAGCAGGTATGTTAATAGTATGTGGTTCAGAGTTGTTCTGAGGATTGAATGAGTTAGTATTTGTAAAGCACTTAGAAAAGCGCCTGTTCGCGTAGTGAATATTTATTGAATAAACATGTCCAGACTTTTTTATACATGCATGTTTGTTTATGTTGTTTGTTTTCTCAACAAAGAGGATCTTGGCTAGCTGCGGTGGCTGACGCCTGTAATCCTAGCACTCTGGGAGGCCGAGGTGGGAGGATCGCTTGACCCCAGGAGTTCGAGACCAGCCTGAACAAGAGCGAGACCCTGTCTCTACTAAAACTAGAAAGAAATTAGCTGGACAACTAAAAATAAATAGAAAAAATTAGCCGGGTATGGTGGCGCATGCCTGTAGTCCCAGCTACTCGGGAGGCTGAGGCAGAAGAATTGCTTGAGCCCAGGAGATTGAGGTTGCTGTGAGCTAGGCTGACGCCACCGTACTCTAGCCCGGGCGACGGAGTGAGACTGTCTCAAAAAAAAACAAAAAGGATCTTATTCTATTACATACTATCTTGCAACTTGCTTTTGTTACTTTGTAATGTGACTTGGGCATCTTACCCCATCAGTATGTATACATCTGTCTCATATTTTTATGTGGCTATGTAATGGTCCATTCTGTAGGTACACAGAGCGTGTTTTTCAAGTTCTACAGTGATAGCCATGCAGGTGGCTTCCACTTTTTGCGAGTATAGACAGTACTGCAGGGAACCTCTTGTTTCTTCCGTCCTTGCCTATGTTTGTATTCCTGTAGGATGTATTCCTGGAAGTAAAATCGCTGCGAAAGATACACACATTTGACTTTCAAACTACCCTGCAAAAAGGTGATTTTCCAGTTTGTATTCCAACTGGGAGTGTGAACTGGGGCCTGTGGAATAATGTCCTCACAACCTGTTACTGCTCACAGCCCACAGCTTTCGTGTTGAAGTCCTTAGTCTGGAGTTCAAAGCCCTCGGTAATGTGTAAAGGCGTTTGTAGCTTTAACTGCCATTGCTCGAGTAAACCCTCTACCCTAAGTCAAGCCAGTGGCTTTTAATCAGGGTGGTTTTGTCCCCCTAGGGCCATTTGACAGAAACTGGTTGACATAGGTGGGGGGAGTGCTCCTGGCCAGGGATGCTTCTCCACCTTCTGCAATGCACGATGCATCCCCCACAACAAAAGTTACCTGGTCCAGGTATTAGTAGAACCGTGGTCAAGAAACCCTGCAGAACTAAGTTGTTCAACTGGTCTCTGAAATCACCTGCCACTTACCTGTCTCTAGCTATGGATGCACGTGGGTTTTATCTAACGTGTCACCTTCATTCTCTCCATATGGGTAGCTAGAGAGTTTTTTGAGGATCCTAAATCCTTGCCTTTGGTTCATTTGGGGAAACATGCTGTATCTACCATTTGCCAGATTGTAAAGTCAATCACAAGCAGGATGATATTGTTTTCTTTATATTTTCCAGGGTGCCTCATGCATAGTTTTCTTATACATAGTTGATGATCACGTACTTTGATTTTTCCTGTATTACAGACCCCTTAAGAGTGATTTAGAGGTTTCACAGGAGCCATGTAATTCTAACCTGTCTTGCACTTACCTGCCATTTGCCTTCCAGTGAAGCATATTTTCTGGTATTTCACAATCTTAAAGAGTTTGATAATCCTGATAGGAGGTGATAGCTTGATGTTTACTGTATTGTCTTTAAAATGATAGTTGAATGAATAGAATTATATAGCTTTCCATTTGAGCAGACTGAATAATCAAAAAGGAAAAATCAACAGGCATTGATTGCATAGAACCCTATTAATTGGTACTTAGTCTTGTGCTTCTTATGGGAGGGAAAGTATTTAGGGCAATTTTTAAATGTAGGTGAACCCTGTCAGTTTGAGGGTACGGGTAGCTTGTCAGATGTTGGCCAACTTTTTCTGTGAAGGGCTGGACAGTAAATGTTTTAGGCTTTGCGGGCCATGTGGCCTGTGTCATTGTTATCAGTTTTGCCCTTGTAGCTGGAAAACAGTCATAAACAATAATTAAGGAAGGGGCATGAGTTCAAATGAATGTTTATGTACAAAAACAGTTGGTGGCTTGTGGGTAGTAGTTTGTTGAACGTTCTTCAACCATCAACATTTGGGTATTTGATTAATTTACACTGCAGGTAATGGTTTCAAAAATGAAATAACTGGGTATGAGTCCCAGTTTGCAATGATTGCGTTGGAAAAGGCACTGATTTGCAACCTTTGTCTTTCCTGATAGAGATGTGGTATGGTGTTTTCCTGTGGGCACTGGTGTCTTCTCTCTTCTTTCACGTCCCTGCTGGATTACTGGCCCTCTTCACCCTCAGACATCACAAATATGGTAGGTTCATGTCTGTAAGCATCCTGTTGATGGGCATCGTGGGACCAATTACTGCTGGAATCTTGACAAGTATGTTAGACATTAAAATACCAGTCAAAAACGTTTAATATGACGAGTCAGTTAATTTCAAGACCCATTTTAGAAACGTATCTGAGTGGGATGAAGAAAAGAGTGGCTTTTAACCCTGAGTCCTGTTTTTTTATGTTTCACTTTTTTTCTTAACCCAAACCCCTATTATTTGGCTAACCTCTCTGAAATCCTTCGTCAGAGTTTATTTCTGTGGCTTCAACAAAGCCATGTTAAGCTATATATGATACAGCTTGTGAGACAGGCTTCTACGAAAAGCAAATATTTGTCTTTTTGGAAGCTGCTTCTCCTTTCTGATCAGCTGTCACCTGGCTGGTGGTGTTGCTCGATGATGGTCGATGAATTCTGAGTACCTTGACAATAGGGATCACACCCTATAAAACATAGACGTGTTCTGCAAATAAATACTTCCACTCATTCGGATGTGCTTACCTTGAGCTTACCTTGAGGATAGAAGACTAATTCTAATGACAAGAATTCTTGTTAGAAAAGTACCTGATTTGTGTTCTGGATTTTTTTCCCCCTGAGGACTTTCTGAATAAGAATTGGAGTAACATGATATCATAAATTATTTTGAAAACTGTTTTTGAGGGGTTTGTTTTGTCTGTTTTGACTTTAGCTCTTGTCACAGCAGATAATTACAGGGATAAGAATAAGTTTAAATCACTTTTAGACTTATTCTTGAATATATACATATAAATTACTAATTTTAAGTAAACAAAATTTAAAATCCTCCGTTTTCCCATCCCTAAGTAATAACCACAATTTGCATTTTGGTGTGTGTGTTTTTTTTTTAGGTATACATGTAACTGTAAATACACCGTTTTAGTATAGAAATGTAACATTCCTAGTAGTTTGTCACTTTATTTTTTTCACTGTGAATTTATACCTTAAGCTTCAAGCAGAAGTTTTCCTCTGTCTCTTTGACTTGAATTTTTTGGAGTTTCTTTTTTCTTCTTGTGAGAAAGTGGCCTAGTTTCTTTGTGTTCTCACTGTATCACCTACTGCTGCTCTAGAGAGCCTTTGCTCCAGTTTCTGTACTAGATTTTTGGCCCCTGTGGCCTGTCTCAGTTTGTCCCTCAGCAAAATAGGGATACCACTACCCACCTCATACACTTGCATGGTGATTAAATGAGGTGATGTGCGTATAAAGCACTTAACATAATACCTGACACACAGTGATTGTGTTCTAAATGTGATGTTCGTTTCCATCTTTAAGGCCCTATGAACAGAGTCTGTTCCGTTTCCATTTTGCTGCTCCCTCTCATACACTTTTTCCTTTCTTCCCTGCTTCGTCATCAAAATCTCACTTTAAGGCCCAGGTCAAGTTTCTTAAGCATCTTTCTACCCAACCCACTCTTTCTGGGTAGTTAAATTTCACAGGGGCCCAGTGAAACGTGCCTTTCAGATGTCAGTAACAAAGAATGTTTGCATTGCCACTGGACATGGACATTTTAAATCACAAATGTTCAAGGCAACCAACATAGATATTAGTTAATATTGTTCTTTCTTCTTGTTAAAATATGTTAACATACTTTCATATCACATTTATAAATGTGTAGACATGTCATTGAGACACTATATATTTTCTTATATTATTGAAAATCTGTTTCTGTCTTGTGTCCCCAGCTAGATTCTGAGTGCCTTGAGAACAGGGATCACACCTTATACAACATACAAGTGTTCTGCAAACAAATACTTGAGTGAATGAACGTGCTGTGACCAAGCAGGATTTTGTTTGGAGCATTTTGTGGGGGGGGTCATCTGGGAAATCTGGATCTGTTCTTTTCAAACTGATGAAATATTGACTTTGTGGGTTCAATGCTGAGTCCCTGCAGGAACTCAGATGGGTATCTGGGAAGATGCAGGTGTTTTGTTTTGATTTCTTAATTTATAGGAAGTCCTGGTGACTAACAATTAAAACAATCAGTGACATGAGAAACAGAAAGGAATCCCTGAGTATGTCTTCCCTTGTGCCCTTTGAATTAGTAACAACTTTATGGCTTAGAGTCCTTCTCTTTTCTTTTTCCCACCCCTCTACTCCCTCCTCCTCCATCCATTTCTTTTTTTCTTTTTTTTTTTTTTCCTATCACCTCCATCCATTTCCTGAAGGGAACTCTGAATATTATATTAATAGAAGGTGGAGCAGGGATTCCCAGTGGCCTGAAACATTTCTTGCTCAGTCTAACTGGAAAGATTCTTTGTCATTTGTTGCCAAGAATTTATTGGTACCTGTTAAATGCTAGGCATGGGGCTAATTGACAGGGGAATGAAGAGATGTGTTTGAGTTCATAATTAGGTCACGTGAGAATTTCTGTCTTTGTGGTTTTGATTATGACTTCCAAATTATTCCTTATTATTCAGTAAATCTAAGAGATTCTTAGCTTTAAGGAGTCAGCATCTTATCAGTGATCCTCAAACTATATAACAAATACTTAAAACCTAATCAGATAAAATAGGAAAAACAAAATTAATTTTAATGTATATAAATTTGGAATATTCTGTTATGCTTGTAGTAGAATTTTAAGTGCTGCGTTTTTGTGATTTTGTTAACCTCTTTGGGTTTTTTGTTTGTTTCCTCAACACCCTTGAATTTTGAATCAGGTGCAGCAATTGCTGGAGTTTACCGAGCCGCCGGGAAGGAAATGATACCATTTGAAGCCCTCACCTTAGGCACTGGACAGACATTTTGTGTAGTGGTGGTCTCCTTTTTACGGATTTTAGCTACTCTATAGCAAATACTCTTATGCTGAGGTGAACCTACGTTTTACAGAATTCTCAAAAAGAATACATTATGGAGTGTAGTGTTTTCTTAGTTCTTCAAATGGAATCAACTTGGATAAACAGGAACGTGAAGGACATCTCAGCCCTTTCCTTAGTTTCAAGCTCTTGAAATTGAAGATGTTTGTGGACTCATCATTCTCAACCAAAACAAAACGAGTTTCTTGGATTTCTTTTTTGTAGATCTTTGATTGAAGCAGTTTTACCACATGCACCTTTATCCAAGCCAGGTCAACAACGCCTCTGGGTTGGCATCCCTTGCACTGAAATTAACAGTATTCTGTGAAGTAAGGCAATGTTGCATATTTCAGAGAAACTATGGAAGATACTGGTTTATTTCAAATGAGCAGAGTATGTACTAACATCTTAGTTGTTCTAATCTTGATTAAAATTTGGCAGATTTTTTTTGCTACATCTTCATGACATGAAGTGCCAAGTAGGTTTTGGTTAAGTATAGCTTCGAAAACAAATTTGGTGAAATAAAACAGGAAAAGGAATTGAAGTATAACTCAAGTAGTGGCTTTGATTTCTACTGTTTAAAGAAAAAGTAGCTAACACTGAATAATGTGACGTTTTCTGGATAACTATCTTGACCTCTGATTATTTGATATATTTTAAGAAATGTGAATTTGTTATTTTGTACATTTTATCAAAATAAGCTAGCTAATTGTGACTTTTATTTTAAATTTTTTGTATAGATGGGCTCTCACTATGTTGCCCAGGGTAGTCTTGAACTCCTGGCCTCAAGCGATCCTCCCCCCTTGGCCTCCCAAGGTGTTGAGATTGCAAGCATGAGCCAGTACTCCTGGATGAGATTTTTTTAAAGAATTTCTATACCACCTTTTCCTATCACTTTTAATTCCATTAATTTTATTTAGTTTAATTAGAATCATACATGCCGTGTTAAATAGCTTGAGTTGGATACTTTAAGCCAGATTGGTTAGGATACTCTTTGGACATGGAGGCACAAATAAGATACTTTAAACATTCTGTTACAGTTTTTCTCAGTGACTTGGGTTTATTAATGACCCTTGAAAAATTGTACAAATACATCTGAAACTAGAGTTAGTGGTTATTGATTTCTTAGTCTTAATATGTTTACCTAGTGGTAACTAGCCCACTTTTATTTACAGTATTGGGTATCAACTCCCAGAAAGTGCCTAAAGTTTAATTTTCAGATATGCCCCCACTCTCCCCTTTGTGTTTTTATTCAAAAGAATTCATATCCTTAGAATTTTTTAAAATATAGTTTTAACTATTTTAATTTTTATTGTCATCTTTCTTTTTCATTAAAAGGCCTGAAAACTGTGACCTTCAAAAGGGAAAGGATTGCAAAAATTAAGTCTTTAACTTGATCCTTACCACCTAAACCATTTTATATGGAATACAATCAATGTGGTGGTTGTTTCTGTTATCTGTTTTCAAAATAGTTTCTGGTAATTAAATCTGACATTTTTAAAGGACTGTTTTTATTGTGAGATTAAGGCTAATACCTAATGAAGGCATACACACGTGAACACATCTATTCCATTTAAAGCAATATGCACTCTGGCTCCTCTAAGCAAATTTTTAAAGATTCTAGTTTTCAGTTCAAGGAGCTACAATTTTGAAAAGTATCTCTTCAGTTTAAGAAAGCTGGGAAAGTTGTATCTTTTATTATGGGAGATAATTTTGATCATTTCTGTTGAAGGATGCCTCTCGTTGGAGTTCTCACCTAAAACATTCTTTTCTATATAATTTCACAAACCAAACATGTGGACCAACATTTGGTGAATAGTAATTTTTGAACATATTGATCCATGATTAAAATGTTAGGTTATTTTTCTTTAGAGCATCTTCAAATTATTGAATGTTTCATCTATCCCAGTATGTGATGATGTATGCTCCTGTGAATAAATGTATACAGACTTTATATAGATGGAGCTCTGTAGCTTGAAATGTTTTCAGGGAGAAACTATTTGAATAATAAAGAATGTCTATTCCACTTTGATTTTCTTTTTCCTTTTTTTTTTTTATGTCTCAAGTATAGAATTATTTAGGGGTTGGGTTGTTGCTTAGATGGAAGAATATTGGCAATCGTGTTGAACATTTTATTTTACCTCATATAGTTTTTTGAGAATTTTTGCCAACTGATATTCTTAGAGACATATGCAACCACCCCTCCCCCAGCTATGCTTCTACTTTTCCTTTTTTTTTTTAAGGGAGAGAGGCAGCCCCCTACCATGAAACTGATTTCTTGATTCTTTAATATGGGGTTTTCGGTTGAAAGCATTTTATAAAAACTTAAGTTCATATACAAAAGTGTAATGGATAGTCCAAGAAAAAGATGGCTGTCTGTGCTATTAACTTACTTTTTTTGCAACAAAATATTACTGCTTACAAAATGTTTAGTGAGAAAAAGTTTATGCAAATACTACTTTTAAATCCTTCCTTATTTCTTTAGGTTTTATGTTGGCTTTTGACTCCAATGTCCTTTCTGACTGCTCTGGTTTGAATTAAGTTCTTATTACACTGCAGGACACACCAACCTTTCCTAAGTAATCACTTCCTGGAATGTGAAGCCCTGGTGCCATCAGCAGTCCGCACGCAGAAAGTTTTGTGTACTTGCATTTCTTTTTTGTGCACTCTGTATGGCTGGTTGTGACTAAAATCAGCTTAACTTTTTGTATTAGGTTATTTTACTTACTAACTGCTACAGTCCAAATGATCAAATCTTTGTACAATAGAAAATTATTTAAATTTTATTTTTCTACTGACATTTCTAATTCTAGTATACATGTTTATCAATAAAGAATTCCTTTCAATTCTGTGAGTTGGAATTGTATTTCTTTTTCAGTGGCCAATGAGTTTAATCTTTTGTAATTAAGTTTGTAATTAAGTTGTCTAACTTCAGTTTTTGTTTTTTTTAAATAACTTAGTATTTAACATATATGTTTAACTATTTCTTTTATGTTCAACTTCTTACTAATTTATGGTAAAATTCTTGTTTAAAGATGTGATTAAACTATTTACATGTGAACTTGACTCTTATTAACTCCACTATGTGTCCCATATATTGCCATCAAGAAGCTTTTATATGCTTCTGTGTGGGGATGACTGAATGCTGATATAGTATATGAAACATTATTTCAAGAGTGAGTCCACATGAAGAGAAGCTTCAAGTTTAATTTAATATCCTCAGTGACATCACAAATCTCTTTCTGTTCTGCCATTTTCATCAAATTGGATTGTCTAACTTGGGTAGTTTATCTCTTGGTCACAAGATGACTGCTGCAGTTCCAGCCATTGCAGACACATACAATGAATGTCTGGCAGGAGCCTGCCCATCCATTTTTTCTCTCTAAATTTTTTTATTGCAGTTTAACATAAAGTTCACAAATCTTAAATATATAGCTTGATGAATTTTTATGTATGTATACTGACATGACTACTACTCAGATCAAGAGACAGAACATTTCTAGCAGCCCAGAAAAATAACATGCAGAGTTCAGCCAGAAGCCCCCAAGATTGTATATGTATCTGAGACCCAACAGGGAGGAACTTTCAGTTTCCAAAAAGGTAATAACCCAGGATTGAAAAGTGGAAAAGAGACTATGGAAGATGAGGGGTTAAAGGTGCTGAGTTTGACAGGGAGGACCTCCAAAATTATTGCCAAGACAACTGAGTAATAGCCAGGAATCTTACAGGGGGTTGGAGGGGTTAGTACTGTGGCCAACTGGAGAGCCCTGTCTCAAGGGGCCAGCTGTGGCTTGGCTCCCACCTGTTTCTGCTTTGTGGGATTATGAGCCCAATGTCAGATTTTCATTTTTCAAGGGAAGCTGGAAATCTAGATTACTATTTGAAGTCTCCATTTTTAAATGCTGGCAACTAATTTAAATTCCTGTAAAACACTTTTTGGTCAAACTACATGATTTTAAGCTGGATTTGGCCTGCTAGACACCACTTCTTTTTATCTCAACTATTGGAAAATAGTTTCCACTCTGGTTACCCTTAAAGTGGTCAGAACCTTTATAGTTGTGAATCTGAACAACAGCTTGCAGTGCCAGGAGAAGTGGGGTGCTGGAGGGGAGTATCTGCTGGAGAACAGCAAGGAATCTTTTTACCGAGACCCACCCCAGTGATGGGGCAAAAGGATCCATTTACACTGTCCAAGGAGAATGAGGCCAAGAATAGTAACTCCCAATTACTGGGTCCAAATTCACATCTACTTTTCTATTACTCTAATGTAAGAAAAGTCTG